AGAGAGAGAGAGAGAGAGAGAGAGAGAGAGAGAGAGAGAGAGAGTGAAAGAAAAGCAGCGGATCGGACAGGGGATAGTCAGGATCGGAGTTGGGGGTTGTTTCGGCAGTTGCTACTGTCGAATTCCGGATTTTTCAATTGTATATTATTGTATCTGAGTGGAACTTCGAATTTGCCCTGTTCATGGCCATATCTCAAGCTCATGTGAGCTTTATTTAATTGCTCTCAATTGCATGTTGCTTTGCAAGTGAAATAGTGTCAGGATCTTTGCATGTGGGAGACGCCCGGAGGAGAAGTGGGGATCAAGGGGGTTTGTCTACGTGGACATTGATGGATACTTTCCATACTTGCAACCGCACGAGCCGCACATCAGTGCGGAGCTCCGTGCGGGCAGTGCCTGTGAGGAATCGCGCAGGTTTTTTATTTTTATTATTATTATCTTTTTTGGGGAGGGGGGACGGGGGGGCGTATGACAGGAAGATGGGGATATGGYGAGGAGAGGGGGATATGGAGAGGAGGAGGAGGATGTGGACAAGGAGGACGACGAGGAGGAGTCAAGATGGAGGAGGAGAAGAGATGGACAGAGGGAAAAGAGGAAGGGCAAGAGGAGGAGGACGAGTGGGAGTAGGAGGAGACATGGGCGGCCAGGAAGGGGAGGACACGAGGAAAGGGAGGACACGAGGAAGGGAAGGAGACGAGGAGGCATGGAAGATGAGGAAGCGCGAGGAGGAGGAGGAGACAAGGAGGATGAGGAAAGGCAGGAGGAGGAGGATGAACAGGAGGAGGACGAGTCGGAGACAAAAAGGAGGAAGGAAGAGACGTGGAGGATGAGGAAGGGGAGGAGGAGCAAGGTGAGGCAGCACTCCTGTTAATTTTTTTTTCATCCCGCTTATAATTTTGGCGGGGGGCCTCAAATGCACCGTTTCAACCCCGGCCTTCTTTTTTTTTTCTGACGGGGGTGACTGGTCATTTCCCTCACACGTCGTGCGCCGCACAGGATCGGTTGGGCGAGCGCGCCGCACGACGTGCGCTTGCAAGTATGATACTTTCTATTCCACCCTCTTAAGTCTATTCTCCCTCTTTCCTGCTTCATCCTATGGTTACGAGACATTGTATCACAGATCGCATTTCATGATTATAGGAGACATTTATCAGCGCTGAGCTATCTTGTTTTTCGACACTTGACGAGTTTCCTCCTGACTGGGTTCATTACCATTTGGTATCAGAGTTTACCTTCTTCGTCGCGATCTTCTGTTGCGCGTCATGACTCGCCGAGGTAAGTACGGGGTGGGGTGCCGTGCAGATTGAATCGAGTCTATAGACGCACGCGATTATAATCGTGGTCTGGAGACATTGACACGCGCGCGCACACCTACCCGCTGAAGATGATGACGTGGACATGAGAAGACGACGGCGACATTGCTGACGTGGCACATTGTTGATGAGGTGGCAATCGAAGGCCAGTGGAAAGCATCGTTGGCTGTGGTGCTGATGTGGCGCTGGACAATCGTGAGAGGGAGAGAGTGGGGAAAGGAGATTGCTGACGTGGCATTGGGAGCGCTGCGTACATGGCAAGGTGCGGGGGTGCTGACGTGGCATCCAAGCGTCAGTGGGTTATTGTCTAACGTGGCACTTACCTCTGTCGCGACTCACCTGCTGACGTGGCGCTTCCATACTTCAGCGGTATCTTCGATCTGACATGGCATACCAGTGACAAACGAGTTGGCAGATAGTGCGCTGCTGACATGGCATACCTGTTGGCGGCCTTGCTGGCCATTGACGCTGATGTGGCATCCTCCGTGGAGGTACTGTGTTAGTCTGACAAGGGGTGACACGTGGCAGGAAGCGCGCGCTGCCACTTTCTGAAGATTGGTGAGGGATTGATACTTGCACTTGAGGATGCTAGCGGGGGGTACAGCATCACAAAAAGGCTGTAGTGCGACGCGTCGGCCCTTGTGCCTGGATGCATTGGCATTCGCAGAAAGACAGTCGAAGAGGATGAGAATCATGAGATGCTGACATATTGATTGATTGTTGTTTTGTTGGCTGACTCTACTCACCATGGGCTGTTCTGTGGATGTCTGCTACTAACCAACTGTGCTGTTTGTCTTGATCACACTGGCCGTGGCTGCAGTTCCTGTACACTCAGATGATAAAATAGAAGAATCTGAACCTCCATATTCTTTTATTTTTCTTTGGCGTAGGAAAGAAATTGCAATGAGGCCGTGGAAGTTGCTGTTGTCTTTTTAAGTTTATTGTGCGGCGAACTCATTTGTCAGAATGGCTTTTGTATGAAACTGTCTGCGTGCGTCCATCTTGACCCGTTTCATTCCCTTTCTTTTCTGCAACATCTCTATCACGTTCTTTGCTGATGAGGAGACCATCCCTATCACGTTCTTTGCTGATGAGGAGGTGGCGGTGATGAGAACCCAAGTCCAAATCGAAGAACGACGACAGCAAATCCTGAACCGTCTTCACACATTGCTCCAAGAAGTACAAGACGCTGGCCCGCAGGCTGGGCAGCATGAAAGCAGCCTGTTCGATCTACGTGCAGCAGACGACGATCTGAAACAGGCTGAAACTGCTGCTCAGATGATGGAAGTCAGCAGAAGGGTGCAACAACTGATTGATCAAGCACGGATGGCACTTGATCACTTTGTTGCCGAGCAATTTGCGAAGATAACCGGAGGACAAGAGGCTAAAGAAGAAAAGAAGGCTGAAGCATCTGAGAGGAAAGAAGAACCGACAGAAGAGATTATGGATGACACTATCAAACAACTTCAAGCTGCATTGGATGCGGAATTGAAAAAGAAAGAAGCCTATCAAAGAGAGAAGAGAAAACGAAGAACAGGCAAAGAAAGTAGAAGAAATTAGGCAAAAGTTTAATGCAGAAGGTTCAGTAGTTGACTTGGCAACCGTCTTGCACAACATGATGATGGCTTACCTTGCACACTTAGACATAAAAATTGGCAATGTCACCGCTGAACTGCACACGGTGACAAGACTGGTGAA